AAAACACCAATCCAAGACTAAAATAATTAAACTCTGTATGAAAATAAAACTGCATGTTATTTTTTTAAGTTAATCTTGACTAAGAAACTAAACCTAGCAAACTATTAAAACCAAATACTTAGTAAAAATGAAAAATAAATTGCTGTTATTATATGAATTATAAATCATATACTTTGCTAATTCACCTAAGAAAAAAAAAAAAAAAAATAAAATAATAATAATCCCAAGTTGAAAATCTGCAAAACTCGGCAACTTCATACTAAACAAAGATGAATTTTCATAATTGAACATACTTTTACAAAATTAAATATATATACCTGTAGCCTTAGGACAGACATCTTTGAAACACTGATGACATATGACACCATGACTGGTGTCAAAGGCTGACTGGGGATCTAATTATTTCTAAGGAAATAAAAATATTTTTTTGTTAAGAAATGCAATACGACAAATTTTCAGGTTTGTCACTTTTGGAATATAGCATGAGAGGTGAAATTGTGAGTTTGAGTGGGATTGTTCAGTGAGTACAATCTTAGGTCTGTTGAATTTGAGTTTTCATTTGATAAAATGAATTATTAGTTGAAATTTGTGACACAAAGTAAATCTTTACAGGTCAGGTTTGTTTTGATCAGAGATATGACACTTTCAGATGGAAGTGACAATCAGCTCAAATGAGGGTGAGATTTCAGAACATGGAAAATGTTCCACTTAAGGTGGATATGAACAATACATGGCCACCATTTTGATTGGTCAGCCAATGAGCAAAGGGCTGGAATGGAGTTTCTTGTCTCCCCCTCTAATACTTATGACTCAAGGTCATTATTTTGATTGGACCACAATCATTGGGTTCTTTGGGGCTTTCCTTCCTCCCCTTCAATGTGCATGACAAGACCATTGATCTAGCCAATCAGAGCCATGCAATTGGGGGCTTGCATCCCCATAAAAGCAGTTGCTGAAAGAGCATTATCTTGCCACTTACCTGGCACAGGGCTCGTCCCTGGGCTGGTGGTATCTCTGCTATGACTAGCTTGGACCAGCTCCAGCCTGGACCAACTATGGCTAGCTTAGACCAGCTGCCCGAGTGAAAACTTGGGTCCCCATGTTAAAAACCGACTTTGTGTCACAACCTGACTCAGTGGGAAGGTCAAGTAAATACACTTACCTGGCACAGGGCTCATCACTGTGCTGGCGGTATCATGGCTATGACCAGCAGTCCAAGTGAAAACACTCAGGTCTCCACGTTAAAAACTGACTCGTTGTCAAGTAAATAGCCACTAATAAACCAACTCTCCATGGCAGTTGACAGTGGTGCCTCAATCAGCTCAAGACCAGTTCTCTAAGCTGCTTTTTGAATACCCTTGATCAGTTGCCTTCATTTAAATAGTTGAACTCTGGGCTGTTTAGCGATAACTGTAACTGCCAGTCAACCACTTCCTTCCACCCAGCTCAAGAATTCCTTATATGGGAAAACTTCAAATTCCTTTTGCTTATATATTCATGATCTTAGTCATAATACCATAAATAAAAGTTATTTTTACACTTGTTAATGAGTGCTGGTGAAGTTTACTGGTGACTTTTAGTCTTTCACAAGCACAGCCAGGACAGAGAAGAATCAAGCCTAAGCTTCAGCATTTCTTCACTGGTATTTCCTGCTGATACTGAAACAATGTATGGGGGGGGGCAGCATTAGTGCAGAGTAGCCTCACCAGACAGACCAAAGTAAGAGTGGCATTCAAAACATGCAGCAACAGTGCCACAATACCGAACAAAATTTGAAATGAAAATACAAAATAGTTAATTGTTTCTTCGTTTTTATTTTCAAACAATGCAAAACGAAAAAGAAAGATCAAAGTCCATTTTTTTTTTTTTTTTTTTTTTTAAATAAAAAATCTGAACGTCATCAAAATTGAGACATTAAAAAACCTTGTCAGGTGTGAAAGTTATTCAAGATCAGATGAAGGGTATATGAGCAGCAATGCAATCAAGTTTGAAATGATTGGTGCTTACTTCACTGCTGCCACAAAGTTGCTTTTATTTTCCTGATATGTGGAACAGAGAATTCTTTCAAGACAGCAAATGTTGAAACCTTTTGATGACTGAAAATGATGGAACAAGAAAAATACATGGAAATTAATTACACAAATTAGTTTAAGTTGCTATTTATTGGCCATCATCCAATTTTGTAGTAAAAAAAAAAAAAAAAAAAATTACAAAGAGGGATACCTAAGGATAAATTGTACATAGAATTAAAAAAAAAAAAAAAAGGTGAAAGTGGTGAAAATTAGTCAAGTGGAAAAGAAGCAAAATGAAATAAATTTTTGTGTAAATATTAAAAGAAATGGGGTGGGGAGGAAAGATAGCAAAGTTTTTGTTGTGTTTTTTTACTATGTGCATGAAGAATTTTATAAGCATCTTTATCTCAAATGAATAAAGTAGATATAATTTTAATAATACTACTTGGTCAAGATATTAGCAAAAATATCTTCAGATTTCATCCTTAAACATGTGCAAACTATTTTTTTTTTTTTTTTTTTTTAGACATTAAAAGTGAAGAATTTCAATTTGTCAAATGGTTATCATTCACTTAAATTTGATCAGCTAAATGTTTTAAATATAAATGTAACAAAGTGCAGGTTCAGCAGCAAGAATTTTGTCTTTTTTTTTTTTTTTTTTTAAATTATATACCTGTTTTATGACTTCACAAACATTTGGAAACTGTTGCACAACTGACAGTTCTCACTGCAATATATATTGATGAAATTAAAGTTACATTTTGTACTTATTTTAAATATTTCCTTTGAATGTACTTGCTTAAAAGTTGTATAAATCGTTTTAAGCACTAGAAGCAATGCTTCTTGTGATAATAGAAAATTTTCTGAAAAATAAAACTGCAATATTTGAACAGAAATCCTTGCTTTATTCCTTTAGATATTTAAAATCTTCACTGAATATGGACTGAATAAGAAATCTTGACTACAAGAAAATTTTTGAAGCCAGAGTTCCTTTTGTTTGTTTCATTATCCATTAGCTTATGTTACTTAACTTTTGAAGGAATATAAAGAGATGCTCAAATTAATCAGAATCTTCATAAATTCTCATTGATTACAATTTATCTTTCACTTCTCCATATAGTTGTAATGAATAAAAAGATAGTAACCTGCTAGTTGGTCACTTTTAAAGCAGGCTACTTAGACTTTTATTTATTTTTAAAATCACTCAGGGAAAAGGTGTCATGCAAAAAGTTTCAACAGTATACTCTATTTGGATTAGATTTGTAAAGTACAATTTTAGTTAAAAGCCCACTTTTAAGGGTGAACAACTTCTGGAGCAAAAGCCATTGAAAGACAAATTCAATTTTGCCTAGAGTTAAATAATATATTAAGATTATATATATATATATATATATATATATATATATATATATATATATATATATATATAATAGATTTTGATTTTTTTTTTTTTTTTTAATTCATCATACCTTTATTACTTCAAAAGCTATTTTTTAATGAATACTCATATTTGAGTAGACCCACCATTTATTTTAAACGGTATTTATCTCATCTATTGGCCTGTGTGCTTCAGAATAGACATCGGAGGGAACATTTTTTTAAGTTTTCCTGAGCACACAGGCTGGTAGATGAAATAATTAGTTTAAAATAAATGGAGGGTCTATGTGTATTTACTAAAAATAGCTTTTGGACTAATATACAAGTCTCTTTGGTTTTTTTCTTTTTCTTTTTTTACACTTAATAGGCATTTGGTTTAATATAACAAAAAGTGAAAGACTATGAAAATCAATTTTTAATTAAGTATTTTGAAATTAAAATGAAAACTTAAATAAAAAAAACAAAAAAAAAACAGATCATTGGTTTAACATTGTAGTAACTGTCACAATAAATAAAATAAAGTTAAAAAAAAAAAAAAAAAAAGGACTAAAACAGATGAGTGTATCAGCAACATTAGTCTTCCAAATTTGAATTATTAATCCTGTTCTCTATTTCTTGATGCTATTTCATTTGCTCATTTGTCTCCCTCCTCCATGTCGCCATCATCTACGCTTGACCCCAAATCCAGGTCGCCGGCAATTTTCCATACTTCCGTCTCCAGTCTGTTGGCAGCCTCCACAGTTGCCTCCGACCCCAAAACGTTGGCGCCTATGTCTGGTCGCCACAACATCGGCGCTCTCCTCCGCCGCCACAACGTCGGCGCTATCCTCTGCCTCCGCCTCCAGAACGTCGGCGCTATCCTGCTCCGAGGCCTCCAGAACGCCTCCTCCAGAACGTCGGGCGCTATCCTGCTCCGCCTCCAGAACGCCGGCGCTATTCCTCCTCCGCCTCCAGAACGTCGGGCGCTTATCCTCCAGAACTGCCTTCCTCCACCTCCAGAACGTCGGGCTTATCCAATTTTTATCCTCACCTCCACCTCCAGAACGTCTACATTCTGTGCAATCTCCACCTCCAGAATTTCAAAATTTTTTAATTAACTTAACCTTTCCAGATGGACCGTTAGATATTTATCTGGGATAATCTTCCAGAACAAAGGAACTCGGCTTGAGTATCCAAATCTTTCATCCTTTTTCCACTTTCAGAACTACACTGTGTTATCCTCTTCTTTTTCCTCCAGATTGCCCACCCTCTTCTCAGGACTCCAGAATATCGGACATAATCTCTGACAGTATAGAAATAGCACTCTCTCTTCATCCATCTCCAGAACATCTTTGTATTCAGTGATTTTAATGTGCATCACAACATGGTTTAAACATTCTAATGTTACTGATATTGATTATATTCTGCCTCCTTTCCAATCTTTCCTTTGCTGAATCCCCACCTCCAAATCATGTATTTCTCTACTCATTTCCAGAAATCTGGCAACAGGCTTCTTTACCTCCAGAATTTCGGCACTATCCTCTAGCTCTTGCCAGAACTCCAAAACTGTCCTGATTAACGCTGATTGGTATTCACTCTTTGACTTTCTTCCTCTCCATTTTCTATTTCCTTTTAACCTCCTGTTTTCTGTAAATTTTCACAATGTTCTTCACTTTTTTTCTGTGATGTTTCTATGCTTTCTTCTTTTAGCAAAATTTTATCATTTTCATCTGTAACTTCTTGCTTTAATCTTGTAGCATTTGTGATAACAGCAGGACCTACAAAAAACATTTTAAAAAAATTAAACACTACTGGAGATTCATGTAATGATAGTAGTCTACAACAACATTATATAGTGCTTGGATGTAATAAAGAAAATCCAAATCCTTCAGCAGTAAATAAGTCCCTGTTATGTTATAGAATTAACAACTAGTTCAAAATAAATACAATTAAAAAATATCTTTATACAGACAAAAAAATTCTTTTAAAAATATTGATGTTTTATGATTTGTATTAAGCTTTTCCATTTAGGATAAATAAATATATTTTTCAGTTTGATAATAATGTCATCTAAAAGGCTGAAATTAATACATAATTTTAAAAGATTTAAAACTTAAACTTTTCTAATTAAAATTTTTAAAAAAATAAATTCTTGTAAATATTAATTATTCATATAAAAAAAACTATTTTTTAAGACAATAGTGTCTCTAATATGGATTCCCACAATAAATGTGGAATTAAAATATTTCCTAATTAAATTGCTCCCAAGTTTTATTCCCGTTTTTTTATTTTACAATTCTCAGCAGATTTTCGGTAAATGGTGTTTCTGTTTGACAAAAACAAATTGATGATTTAAATTCTTCAAGGAATTCTATAAATAGAAAGACCCTGAAATTTTATTTTATCAAAATTTCATAAAATTAAGTGGGAAGTAACAGATGTAAAGAAAAAAAAAAATTTTTACAAAAAATTAAAAATTTCATTTGTGAATAAGTCCTGAAAATTTAAGAGATTTTCACAAGAACACAAACATGTATGGCAATAAGCAACAAACCTTACCCAAAAGAATCAACATGGCAATCTTGGCAGAAGTTGTGAAAGACATTACATCAACAGCAGGAATAATTTAAGAGAGCACAGATCAGAGACAACTGACACTGCATTTCCAAAGGCAATTAACCATGGCAACAAATATGACTAAAAAAAACTCAGATACCACAGCCACAAATTTGGATTTCCAGTTCCAACATCAGAAAAAATGGCTTGACATATGGTTCCAACATTGAAAAAACACTTTCAAAACACAAATTTTGGAGAAGGATGGGCTTGAAAACCACTGTTTCTTGATGAAAGAGCTTTTTACAGATAATAAATAAAAGAAAATTTCAGTCCAATTTTATATTGACCAAACAGGCATTAAAAATTTTACCATTTTAATACAGAGGGATAAACAGTTTTGAATTAATCTGAGTATACTTACAGCTAGATATAATTTGAAATTAGTAATTTATTTTGTAATTTTTCATTTATAGATATTTTAATTTGAATACAAGAAATTTCAACAGAAATCACTCACAGAGGGCCAGTTTAAATGCCTCATTTTTATTGTTGGGTTACAATCCCCAAACAATGGCAACATTCAGACACAGTTGTTATCTAAACTCGAACAAGACAAAAACAATTTAGTGAGTTACCTGAAAACTAGTAAATTTCAACATTAGGTCAACCTCAGGCATGCAACTTTTGCTAACCAGTTCAAACTATGGCAATGTGATACAAAAAAGAAAATCTCAAATCAGGAAAAAAAATTTAAATATCTTTTTGGTTTTAACAAAGATTGTAGATTTATGTCTATGAAAAAAACATATGTCAATTTTGACAATCAATGGGATGACCAGTGACTCCCTAAAATTAGGGTTGCATTTCAAATTCATCTTTAATTGAAATTGAAAAAACATTTCAAGACCAAGGGTCAAAAAAATTTTCACCAACACCTTGAATGGTTACTAAAAATCAAACTGAAGGCAAATGCCAAAACAGTTTTTAGACCAAAATGACCCCAGACATCTTCAACACTAGTGATTACTAAAAGAGAACCAGACTGCCCAACAAATTAACATAAATCCAGTTTCACAAATTAACTCATTGTTGGACATATCTTGGTTTATATTTGAAAACAGAATATAGCAAAATATGGGAGTTTCATCTGATTCCACATGACTTTAAATGTATTGAAGACGACAGAAAATATCATTACTGGTCCCAGAAGACACATTGCAAAACTATGGTGGAACTTGATACCTTCAAAAAAGCTAAACAAAAGTATCTACAACAGGGAATTTTGATGAACAAAGAAAAGAATCTTCTGAACAATCAAGGGTTTATTTCAATATTAATCCTCCATATTGGCAGTAAAGATTGGACACTCTCACCACAGATCCAACAAACAATGGAATGCAAAAAGAAATCGCTGCAAATATTGATAACATCATGAGAATACAACCCAAATTGAACATGTAACAATGAAATTTTAGAAAAATCCAAAACAAAATTTCTTAACACTTAGCATCAGAAAAAAATGATGAAATTTCTTCCAAAAATTGATTCATTTTTGCTTGTTTTGGTTTAGTTTGGTTTGTTTTGGTTTTATGTCATATCAACCTCAATGGGTTATTTAATGCTGACAAAATTTTTATTGTTGGTAATATTTTTCATTCAAAAATTTATTTCAGGTAATATTTTTTTCAAATATGTATCGCTGGTAATTTTTTTCCAAAAATATATTGCTGGCAACATTTTTTTCAAAAATGTATTGTTAGTAATAATAATTTTTTTTTCAAAAAATATTTTGGTATTAAAACCTATTTTTTACACAAAAATGTATTTTGGTAATATTTTTTTTTTTACAATTCCAAAAAATATTGTTTTACATTTTTCAAAATGTATTGCTGAATTATAATATTTCTTCTCAAAATGTATTGCTGGTTTTTTTTTTTTCAAATATGTGAAGTGTCCATTTTTTTTCCTTCAACAGCATATTGTTGGTAATGTTTTGTTCAAAAATATTTTGTTTGGACTTTATTTTTTTTTACTATTTATTTCTTTTAATGATGTTTGTCTAGATGATGATTTTTCCCTTGTTTATTGATGGTTAGAGATTTTTTCCTCAATGTCCATTTTCCTTGGTATTCAAAACCCACTTTTACATTTTTTATTTTGTATCTTTTCATTTTCTTGAGATTTGTTTAATGTTTCTATTTCTTGATAATTTTTTTCCATTTTGATTTTTTGTTTTAATCATGTTTTTTCTTTGTAGAATCTTTTTTTGTTTCCAGTTTGATCTTATAGGGTTTGTTTTTCCATTAGGTTCTTTTAATGATCTTTGTTTAGATGATGACCATTCCTTGTTTGAGATAGGATAAAGTTTTGTTCATCCATGCCCATTTCTCTTGATTCTTCACTAAAAAGATGTACTTTTTTTTTTTTTTTTTTTTTGTACCTTTTGATTCTCTTGAGAATATTTAGGTTTCTATTTCTTGGATTTTTGTACTTTGGTTGGGATTTTTGGACTTTTGTTTTGTACAGATTTTTTTTTGTTTGAGGTTAACAGGATAGTTTTTTTTTTTTTTTGTTTATGGGTGTTTGATTTATGTGTGATATACTACATTTTAGTAGTTTATTAAACTTTTTAATTTTAATTCATTTAAGATCTTGGCTTTTTATTGCATTGTTTTCTTGGATGTCTTTTTGTTGATTTGATATTTTAGTGATATTTGTATATGATGTTGAAGTGAATTAGATTCAAACTGTTTCCTGGAATGAGACAAGATGTATTTTCTGTATTTTATTCTTATTATTTCCTTTTTTTTCCAAATGTTACACTTTTTGGAGTCTGGTGAACAATTTTCTTTTAGTTTGACATAAAGGAGGCCTTTCACAAGATGATTTATCATGATCAGTTCGCAAGTTCCCCACACCTTTGACAGACATGTTCTTGAAGATTTTGTAGATGACCAAATTTTATGACATCTACAGGGATTAGGGAATGCATGGCTCTACCTTGATTATTGTGTATCCCATCTTTATTTCTTTTGGTAGAATAGGTTTATTGAATGTCAAAATATATGTGTTTGTGTTTATTTGTGTTTGTGTCATTTCTTTTATTTGAATTCTTTTAACATCTGTTACTCCTTGCTTTTTTAGGGTGTCATCATTTTCAATTTCTTCTAATGAACAAAGTGACAGTTCTGGGCATTTTATTCCTCCTTTTGATGAATTAAGAAATTAATTATTGTAATTTTATTCTTGTCAATTTGCTTGATTTTTAACAATTTTCTGTGTCTTTTTGGATTTCACTTGAATTAATAGAGTATTATTTTTTTTATTTTTTTAACAGATTGTGGTTTGATCATGTCTGAAATAACCCTTTGCAACACAAAAGGAGACACTTTTGATATATCACCATCTAGTGATTCTACAACAATGAAAGTTGGAAATTGCTTTTTTTCTGATTTCATTTTTCTGTTTCAGAAGTCTCATATTGTCTCTTGGTTGGTTTTTATAAGATTGCCATATAATTTTAATTTTTGTATTCACTGTCTGTTTTCCCCACCCACCTTGAGTTCCTTCTTAAGGGATGCTATCAGGGGGGAATAATCTCATTTGCCAGGACTACACAGACAGTATAGTTGTGATGAAAGTGGATATGAGCACCTGCATTCCCCCCACCATATCTACCCAAGTATAGTATGATGTAAGTTTTTAGTGGGCCATGTTAGACCCATTATCTATCATCCCAACTAGCCCTTGCCACAATGTGACTAGCCGATTGGAATGGATTAGGCTATTCCATCTGCCCATCTATCCCAGGTAGGAACCGAAGTGACCTGTTGTGGAAACTACTGCTGCTCACACACTACAAGCCTTCCTTGCATCATAATCATGATCATCATGTTGTTTCAAATGCTTAAGATTATGGTATAGGGACAGCATTTTTATAGATATTTCTGGATGGAAATGAAAAAGCATTTGCACACACACCCAGAACAATTACACCTACAAAATGCAATTATAGCCAGATAGAAATGGAAGTCTTGGCAATTATCTTTGCCATAAAAAAGTTCCACAAAATGCTATGGACACCACTTTACCCTGAACACAGACCACAAGCCTCTTGTTAGCATTTTTGGTTAAAAGAAAAGAGAGCCAATCATCTACAATGATGGGCCACAATGATTTTAGACTATAATTTCTCCATCAAATGTTGCTAGACCAATCAATGGACAACACTACTTGATCCTGGTTTATGCATATAGAAAATGGCCAAAAGTGTTTCCAGTGGATTGCACAAAGCTGGAGAAACTATAACGAAGCTACTAGTGCTTAGAAGACTGGGATCTCGGAGATTTTAGTCTCCAAAAATAAATGTCACCTATGACGTTGATGTGCACTCACATATCTGGGTTAGACATGCAAATCAATTATGCCCTTCTCGCCTTCCAGAAAATGAATCAAATGACAGTCATTCCACTCAATGTTTTATCGGACATGCTTGAACTCTTTCAAAGTTTTCAAGTGAAACCCAATAAACAACCAAGTGATTTCAAGATGGCTATCAGGCATTCTTACACTCCCAATTGAACTATTAATCTACCAGAAATCCAATGGTCAACATTTACATCTATTGTCATAAAATAGTGAATAAAATATATAAAGGTTCAAATTGAGCATTCGTTCTTATTTGACATTAATTTGAAATAAACAAATCAAACTCAAACAAAAGACAAACTAAAAGCAAACAAAGACAAAAAAGCAAACAAAGACAAACTAAACAAACAAAAAAAAACAAAGACAAACTAAAGCAAAACAAAAAAACAAACAAAGACAAACTAAAGCAAACAAAAGACAAACAAACTAAAGACAAACTAAAGCAAACAAAGACAAACTAAAGCAAACAAAGACAAACTAAAGCAAACAAAGACAAACTAAAGCAAACAAAGACAAACTAAAGCAAACAAAGACAAACTAAAGCAAACAAAGACAAACTAAAGCAAACAAAGACAAACTAAAAAGAACAAAAAATAAAAAAGCCTTTATTAGACTTTTTCCCTATGTTCCAATGAAAATATTTATTTCCTATCTCAAAGTCAGTGAGATAGCTCAAAATAAACTATGGTCGTAAACAGGAAAGACAATAAAAACAATATGGCTGGCATCAAATTTAGTTCAACATCAGCAATGCAACTTCCTTGCATGAGAAAAATATTTAACATCTCATGCAGTTATGGCAGAAATATGAACAGAAACTAGACAAACTTTGAGATCAAGGTGTGGAAATTTACTAGAGTGGAGTTTAGCAAAGAATTGTCAGCAAAAAAGGAAGCAGCTGTGTATTGCCACAAACGGCCATCTGCAGGTTTTGAATTCAAAGTTGTCTTTTCCTAGACTGTTTGCCATCCAAGTTTATAGGACCCAGTTTGTCCTGATATTTACCCATAGCTAAGAGGGAGAAGAAATGGATTCACAACTTTCCCAATAAATTTAGCACATAAGCAAATGTAATGAACTCAACTGGAATGTGAACTTGAATCACTGATTTCTCAGTCCAGGATGCTATCCATTATGCTACTGTACCTCCGAATGAATCTATCTATGAATCTATCTATCTATGAATCTATCTATCTATGAATCTATCTATCTATGAATCTATCTATCTATGAATCTATCTATCTATGAAATCTATCTATGAATCTATGAATCTATGAATCTATCTATCTATGAATCTATCTATCTATGAATCTATCTATCTATGAATCTATCTATCTATGAATCTATCTATCTATGAATCTATCTATCTATGAATCTATCTATCTATGAATCTATCTATCTATGAATCTATCTATCTATGAATCTATCTATCTATGAATCTATCTATCTATGAATCTATCTATCTATGAATCTATCTGATGAATCTATCTATCTATGAATCTATCTATCTATGAATCTATCTATCTATGAATCTATCTATCTATGAATCTATCTATCTATGAATCTATCTATCTATGAATCTATCTATCTATGAATCTATCTATCTATGAATCTATCTATCTATCTATCCTATCTCTCTATATATATATCCCATTTAGTAAAAAGGGATAAAATTTATAAACATAATTTTTTAAAAATAGATAAAAAAAAAAAAAACATCTATCAACAGTTGTACTAGAGAAACCATTAATTAAGAATATGAGCATGAATATTATTAAATCAATTGCAGTAATTTCTGTTTATTTCCTCCTATAATATAATTTTTGGAAGCAAAAAAAAAAAAAAGTGTCAACTGGTATTGAATTTTATCCTGTACATTTTCCATTTAATTAAAATGCAAATTATAATATATGTATTAAATGTAATCTTTATTAGGGGAGAGATCTTTTTATGTAATGTACATTTTAAATGTCAAACATATTGTGGTATTTATATAAATTAAGTTTCAAAAAATAAAATTTTTAAATAATAGGTTTTCAATACTTCAGAATTACTGTAGTTAGGAATACTAGATACAGAAAATCATATTATAGACACTTAACTTATACTAAATTTCCTAATTACATTATACATATATATTTTATGCACATGTGATAGAGAAAAAAAAAAAACTTTACCTTTTATAGAATCTTCAATCAAAATATGTCCATGGCTGTTATTGTGGCTTAATGTATCACAGTCAAAGTCTGCCAAAGCACAAAGAGTGAGGAAAAAATTTATGAAAATTCTTTTACAAGTCAAATAATTTTTTTTTTTCAATTTTATATTTTAAAAAAAAAAAAAAAAAAAAAAAGTGATAATGAAAGAATACATAAGAAAAATATCATTATGCAATATAAGAAGCCTAGCAGTTTTTGGTGGAGGATCTAAGTCTGGAGGGAAAGGAAGCGTAATTACCATCATCATAGCAGCTCTCACGGCAACAGGAAATGTCATGGAAAGACAGCTCTGGAATAAAGAAAGGTAACACATTCGATAAATTTAAGTTAAAAGAGCAAACATGAAAGAGTTTTCTCCAAGACAACAGTCCTGTGCCATTCCGGCATTACTGACACCTCCTGCTTCATCCTCAATCCTCCTTTGTAACACTGATACTTGCCTTAAGCAACAGTGTACTTGATGGGCGGAAAAACAAAATGTAGCATGAGCTACAATAGTTAAAAGTGGGGGGTAAGGACTTCACAACACACCAAATGCAGAAATGGTAATGAAGGGGAAGAAAAAGCAAGCTTGTCATATCATACACAGTAATTAAAATAAAAGGAATTAGCTTTTCACCATTTGTATATATAACCAAACTTCAGACTCCAGATAATTTAAACCAAAATAATGTGCACAGAATTTATATCAATATGTAAAAAATTAATTACCCTACAGAAAATATTTTAATCTCAAAATTCTCAATATGTAATTTTTGTTTAAGAACAAGTTTTTCAGAAAATATTTTTCTTTAAATTTATAAAACTCAAATTAATCTATTCATATTTCCTTGTTAACCAAGTAATATAGTTTATAAACTTCAAATTAAAATTAATTTCACTTACTAGAGAAATCCAAAGAAATTACTTACAAGAAACAGAAGCATTATTTTAAAAATTATTTATACCACTTTCTTTCCTACAATTTATTTTGCATACAAGTACACAGTAAAACATTAAAAGTAAAGAATTAGCCACTGGCAAAAATGAACTAAACATTTGGATAATAGTTACTGACAATAGAGTGTAAGATATAAATTAAGTAGTTCTTGATCAATTGTTTGGGTAATACGGTGCACCACAGAAATTTAAACTCAGTTGAAATATGTTAGTTAATTCATTGTTCTAATTATCTAACAAAACTTTATAAATTCCAGTCTGTGAATCATTTTCAGAATTGGATGTTTCATTTTTTTTTTTTTACCCAAATCTGAATCCTGATTCGTGTTGATCTGATCTTGAACAAGTTCCTGACTTCACATGAGCCATGGACTGCAATTCATGCTTCAGTGCTGTTGACAGCTTTCTTATCTCAACTGGACATCATCTTGGGTCTACTGCTCCTATTCTTGGCTGTAGAACTTTCTAGATTATGGAAGAAATCTTCACACCTATGCGACTTTCATTAATTCACTCAGTCTCTGAAGTTCAAAAATCAGACACCATATGAATAACCATGACAATTTTTACTAACAGCAACCAATAAACCGAACTCTGAGGCCTTTACCTCAATCTTGAACAAACTTAGTAGCAATAAAAAGTTTAAATTAAAATTTTATTAAAAAATACTTAACTCATGAGCACTACTCAACTGGTCAGTGTTTATAAAAAGAGCAACTTAAAAATACAAATAAAAAAAAAAAATGTAATAAGTTTATTCAAAATTTTCACTCTAGTTTAAAATTTCATGGTGTGTTGTATGTAAAAATAAGTAACTACTGAGCCCATGTATTTATTTGCTTATTATACAATTAAATTAATCTTATTTAATCTTTGTTACTAATAAGGATTAAAATAGGTTATTTTGACCATTTCAACAAACTTGCATTTATTTGATAAATATAAAAAAGAAAATGGAACATTGTGATCTCTAGGCAAGTTTCAGTGATAATATTCCTACTTTAAAAAAATCCTCTAAACAGCTAGTAGAAGAAAACACATAAGATAGACTTATAAAATGGATGAAACATTGTGATGATAATAAAGATGAGGACAATAGTCCAAATGTAATTAGTGTAAATAAGACTTATAAAAATAGAATAAATTACACTTATGAGTTCAATTTCTGATACCAAATATTCCAGCTTATTCATAAACCGTTTCAAAATATTACCAATAAGTGGAAAACAATCCTTACTATCCTTTCCAATTTGTGTCCAAGTTTAGTTCTTATTTGCCTTTTAATTGGTACGATTTGAAATTTTAACTATCATCAGTTTTAATATTTTTACTGCAACCAATTCTTTATTAAAACTTGCTTTAATAGCAGATGAAAAATGTAAAAATAATTCTCTAAATGTCCCAGTTTTTTTAAGAATTGCTTATTTTGTCTTCTGATCAATAAAAGCAAATCATAATAATTCATAAACATAAATGTGACAAAGACTCAAATCCTGTCATCAAGTCATCTAAGAAAATAAGTCAATTCTGCCTTTAAAAACCCAGAGATTGGGAAAATGTTTACATTTTTTTGTAGTCAGTCATTTGCACCCTTTGTGCAAGAAGAATTGTGGCATTAGGTACAGTAATTTGTAGTCTATTTCTTTCTATATGCATTACAAACTAAAAATAAATGTCTAAAAAGCATGACTTCTAACCAAAAGTATATTTTGGTTTGTGTATAATTGCTTTCACAAACTAAATATGAAATTAAAAAAAAAAAAAAAGTACAATATTTATAATGCAAAAGTTTATTTTTAAGTAAAATTTCCTAAGTGCTCGAGTTACAGCACCAAGTCATTTTCATAGGTTGAGCCAAGAACTTCTCAGCACCCATTTATTGGGTGTATGTATGTGTATATAAAGATGAGCATGTACTGAGAAGTTCTTGGTACAAACTATAAAAATGACCTAGTGCTATGAAGCATACATACTATTCCAAATAATCACCCTCAGAATTCAACACTTAGCATATTGTTTCTCAAGTTTCAACCTTTTCACCAACTCTCCCTTTTTTTTATATATATATATATATATATATATATATATATATAAAACGTTATATCATTTTGTATATCAACAAACCGTATTTAGAAAAATTGATGATTTCAACTAGACTGAAAAAAAAAAAATTCTATCAAAGAATATTTCAAAAAAAATTTTGGAACTATCTCATTTCATGCACATGGCAAGATCATCAAAGTCCAGCCCAATGAAATCCTAACAGATGAAAAATGTCACAAAAAACCTTTCTAGTTTGTCATATTGTGTGTGTGTACATGCACACTCCAATCACATTAAGTTGCAGTTTAACTTAAACACAAAATTGAGCAAAAAAAAAAAAAAAAAAAAAAAAAAAAATTGAAAAACTCACAAATAATTAAAGAGGAAAAAATGGTATATAGCATATGCACAATTTTAGAATTCTGTTCATAAGTATATCAGCAAACAGAATTTCTTTATCTGAATGACATGCAAATTGCTAAAAAGCAACAACATTGATTGTAAATGCTTATTTTCATTTTAGTTTGCAGTCATTTAAAATTTTCTACATTATCACTTAACCTAATTTTATGAAGTCACCCAAATAAATTTTTTTTTTTTTTTTTTTAATTTTTTATCATTAGTTTGTTCAAAACAATAAGCTACCAAATCATTAAAATTGACCAAATTAAATTAATATCTATTCTATTCCCAATGTGAATTGGGATCATTTTTTTATTTGGTGTGTGAAATATGGGAAGTAGATTTCACTCATTATAAATGAATAAATACGACAGAATACAAATGAGGCTGAGGGCAAATTCTGACCTGCAACCCCTACCAAGTAGAAATTAGAAGACAATCAGAATGGTTTTGGGGCAGCCATTGGTTGTCCTGCAGTTGTTGGTTGACTAGTGTGGAGAACACACAAATGGTTAACAAGCAGCAGTAATGGTAACATGCATCAGACAGAACTGAGGGAAAAATAAAAATAAAAAAAAAATGAAAATAATTACACAGGGGAAAGGAAAAAAATAAATAAAACAACAAAGTCAAAATCATCAAAGCAATGAAAAAGTCATGCAAGCGTGACTAAGACATTTACTAACTAGAAATATAATTCCATCTTTTATAGTCATTGATACTTAAGGTTTTCAAGAAACTTTAATAAAATTAGGAATTAGTTTAAAGTAGTCAAAATATTTCCCTGAGAATATAATGTGAATATTTTTGCACTTATTAATCTGATATCCACACAACTGTTCAATATTACAATTATATCTTAATCCTGAAATCCAACAATCAAGTTTCCATTTATATATTTCTATACAAAAGAAAATATTTTAATTTTGCTGCTTTACAAAATCACTGAGGCAAGCATAAAAAAAAACAGGTGTTCTAACCTTTTAGGGGGTGGGGGCTGATTTCAAATAGATATCTATTTTCAGTCATCATCTTCAATTTTCGAGATATATATGCTCATACATTTAACGTTTTTGCTGTCCCAATGACTTGGAGCAACCACAAAGCGAAGCAGACGATTGTTATTTTGTCTAACAAAATAATACAAATACAATTTCAGAATAATAAAAAAAAATAAAGAAAATAAAAATATCCCAACCTTCCCTCATCTACAAGATATTTGCTCTCAGATGCTTTCCTAGTCCCCAGCAAATAAGGATATTCTTCCTTCATCAGATGAGGAAATGCCTTCAGAGAAGGATCCTGCCAAGTTGGTCTTTTCTGATAACAATGTGTCCATTTATTCAGAATCAAATGAGCCCCACTGAATTACCCAGAAAGGCCTGAATGACCTTGTCCATGATTTGTACCTATGTAAGCAGTACTCAAAACTCCTGGTATCCTAGCTGAAGCAGAGGAACCAGGTCAAGTTAGATGTAAGGATCAACAATTCCAGGACACAGAACAATGAGTTTGCTTTATTCTTCAACATGGAAAACAGGTTGTGCTATTGCAAAAATGTCTAGTTTATTCACCTATCTTGCTTCCTTCACAACTCCATAGATTGGCAGTTTTTCATAGACTTCTTTTTGGAGGCTGCCAAGGACAAAAGGTAATAGAGCCTCTGTGAAGAGGTCAAGGACGTTGTACTGTTGTTTTCTCTATCTCTGAAGGATTGGTGGTCTAAGAGCACATTCATCCCTGGGGAACATTCCAAAAAATTCCTCTGGTGGACATGACCATGATGCATCTCCCCACTCTTCATTTCAAGCATGGTCTAATGAAGAATGTTTTGAAGGTCATAGACAGAAATCATGCAGTCTTCCAACACCTGTGTACTGTTCCCAGCTCCTAGTTCTGCTAAGGAGGGCATCTTTGTTGAACCTCAAATCCAAAATGTTGAAGCTAAGAAATTTAAAAAGATTCTTGCCTTCAAGGAACTGAAAGCATGGAAAGCATTTAAGCCAGTCTACTATGGCTTCCTTGAAAACATACAGACACTAGATTATCAAGACTATATCAAGAAGTTGTTACAAGCTTATGAGGACATGGTGTATTGAATGTCACAAGATTCACTTTCTCCACACCAACCTCAACTTCTCTCCAAACATTGGAGCAGTGAGTGATGAGCATGAAGAAAGGTTCAAAAATGGAAAACGATCATCAAAGCAAGTAGAACTCCAGCATGATGGGGGACTTCTGCTAGATACTTCTGCATGACATCCAAGGGAAAGTACAGGAGATTGGACCAAGAAACTCACTTCTGTTTGTTTATTTATTATATATATATATATATATATATATATATATATATATATGAAAATATATAGAAAATAGGAAGGAACTGGTTAGGTAAATAATCCAGAGTCCCTTGGTATTTTAGTTATTATTTTTAAAAAATAGTGCTTGATACAAAAGTAGAGCATAAATATATTTATTTAAAAATATGATTCCAAATCGCTACATAAAGAGGTCTCATGTTTCAAAACAAGAGCCAAAACTTCAATATAATCCTTTAAATTAAATTGAGTTTAAATTAAAATGGGCTCGTTCCATCTTCAAGCTTAAATTTTTGTTGGAATAACGATATCTGAAATTTACTTGTTTTAAAAATTGAAATCAAAATCTCCATGGTAACAGCAAGGGTTAATTGTTTAAATTGGGTAGGCGAGTGTAGGGTGTTAATAATAAGTAGCGGTATAGAGATACTTTCAAGATGTCAAGTCGGGGAAAGGTGGGGTGTCTAAAATGAAACGGAAGATGTATTAACCTTCATCTAGTTTGCTTGTCTATGGAGATTTATTTATTTATTTTATTTTATTATGAAAGGAATTGTGCATAAAAAAAAAAAAAAAAAAACTTTTGTAACGTTTGTTTTTTGACGACTTCATAAAGGGTTATCTATTACGTAAGGTATTTAAACTACTTATTTGGGCTATGGATTATGAAGGGTGTTATGTTGTATGCATGTTTGTAGTTAATTATTCCTACTATGAATCTGATGATTGGGTTATTTGTTAAACAAGTTATTATAAATTTTTTTTTAATTTTTTTTTTTTTTATCTAATAATTCAAGCCAAAAATCTGATGATGCCTACGAAAAACCGTTAATTCGTGTCTATTATTTAATAGATTATTATTATTTAGAAGTTTAATAATGTGTAATTTTTCATGGAGGCACAAAGGGCATGGGTCATCCCAAGCTTTACATGTTCTAGCCTTATCAATGATTTTCCATTTAACTTTTGGTGTCCTATTTGTTTCCTTCAGGTGCCAAAAATATTTTGATAGTGAAGTCTGATTTCTTTTGTTTATATTATTAAAGGAGCACTTATGCTACCTCCATCTATCTTTAAAATTATTCTTCATGGACCCAATGTATATCATATTAGTGCTAGGGCTCTCTGTGGATGAAATAGTACATTGGTATACCACAGAATTAATACAACATTTATTTTCTAATGGGTATCTTCTAGGTTTCTACAGTTAATAATTTTTCCCTTTTATCGTCTGGTTTAAGTGCAGAGTTTTTATTAATACTGTTTTGGCATGGGGGTTTGTTCAAGATCTCATTATTGTGTTTTTTTATTTTTTTTTTTTATGCACAATTCCCTTTCATAATAAAATAAAATAAATAAATAAATCTCCATAGACAAGCAAACTAGATGAAGGTTAATACATCTTCCGTTTCATTTTAGACACCCCCACCTTTCCCCGACTTGACATCTTGAAAGTATCTCTATACCGCTACTTATTATTAACACCCTACAATCGCCACCCAATTTAAAACAATTCGCCTTTGCTGTTACCATGGAGATTTTGATTTCAATTTTAAAACAAGTAAATTTCAGATATAACGTTATTCCAACAAAATTTGCTTTTGAAGATGGAACGGAGCCCATTTTAATTTAAACTCAATTTAATTTAAAGGATTATATTGAAGTTTTTGGCTCTTGTTTTGAAAAACATGAGACCTCTTATGTAGTTATTTGGAATCATATTTTAAATAAATAATTATATATATATATATATATATATATATATATATATATATATATATTGTATTATATAAATAACAGTAGCATTTAGTTCTGTCAGTGCTCTGTATCAGTGTTAGTTTTTTTTCTGTAATATGCCATTCTTAATACATAAAAAAAAGAATAGATTTGATAGAGCAAAACTTAATTTGAATTCACCACATTAAAATTATTTAAAAACAACTATTCACATGCTTGCCACATTTTTTTTTTTTTGTAAACCAGCAATTTGGCCAATAATTTGGAAATTAATGTATCCATAATGTTATAAATACATACTAAGGATAAGTTTAAGACACAGAAGACTGAAAAAAACAAACACACACAGAGTAGCAGAGAAAACCACTGTACTTGGGCATGTTCATCAGCTTCTTACATGTTAGTTCTGATTGCATGAAACCAACTGTTCTCAAATGGGTTCTTCTATAATGATTGGTTAGAGGAGAACAAATTTTAAAGCCAGGTTTTTTAGTGGAACTAGCAAAAAGACAAAACTATTTCCCCCAAGACAGATTTTCTATGCAGTGGAAAGCAATAAACAATATCCTACTATCATGTAACATTTAAGATTTTTTTCTCATCTAATTCACCATTGAGAAAGCATAAATTGATTATCAAACATGGTGATTTTTGCAAAAACAACTGATATTTTTTGACTTCAAAAACATAAATCGTAAAATTTAATTTGTTGAGATTAAAAATAATGACTATATTACTTTCTCATTCAACCAACTAATAGTATTGTATAGCTTAAAATTTTGTACAAGAGCAAATAATTTACTTGCATAATGTTCATAGATCAAAAGAAAAATTAGTTCATTTGAGTTTTCAAACATTTACAAGCCTTCATTACAGATTGATTACTTTCACATTTAAAACAATTTTAATCCATTAACTGCTGCAGAAATTACCATTATTCACATTTAAGTCAAAACTTCAAATGATGAAAATTCCTGAAATCTTCAGGCATTTAAAAATTTAAAGTTCTGCCGAAAATACAAAAGTTCAACCCCAACAAATAGACAAACAAAAATATTAACTAGACTTCTGCTAAACAAATTGTAAAAGATCACAATTTGAAACAATCGTCTTGTAATTAAAGCAACAAACATGCACAAAATTAAAAAAAAAAAAAAAAAAAAAAAAAAAAAAAAAAAAGTGCAGAATACATCTTAGAGCATTCAGGTGACACGTAATTACAACTGCTTTTAAATGAAACATTTTCTTCCAAAACACCTACCCATGTGTTTAGTACGATGAGGATCCAATAAACTATGTTCAAGTTCTCTGTTAACCTCCAGTTTGGAGCCAGATTCAGCCAAGGCATAACCAAGATCGACAAAACGGTCATTGATTGCTTCATCATCATCTTCTTTATACAAATAAATGCCATGTTGGCCACCAGATCTGACTTCGGCTTTTAATTCCAATGATACATTATGAGTCAGTTCTGGAAATAAAAGCAAAACAGTCTGAATTATAAAAGGCAACAAAATATAAATAGTACAGCATTCATAATATTTAGTTCTACTTAGACAAAATAACAACAAAAGCTGGACTAACATAACAGAATGGGTGGTGGCAGGTGTCTAAATTTTCAAGTGCTAGGTTTTCAATAGAATAAATAAGAGTATATTTATTTATGAAGTTTGAAAGAAAAAAAAAAAAAAAAAAATTCAAAATCTAGTGACATTTGGGTTTTTAAAAGGTCAGGTCAAGAATGGAATCAATGATTAAGAGATTTAATTTTAATATCTGTCTATAATTTTGAGATAAAGGCATTGTAATTATTTACATTGTTCAGTCTGTTGTCTTCAATATTTTTTTTCATGTTTACAACGTTTCAACTGCTGGACGATCTGGCCTTCTTCAGGTGATTGAACTCTTTATTTCATCCACCAAGATAGATTGTTGTAGTTGCCGCTTCCAGATGTCTCAGTTATATCTCTTTAACTCAATTCTCCAAGTCTTTGTTCACAGAATTAAAAGGTATTGGACTCGCAACTCTTTGGATCAAGTCACTGCATCCAACCAACACTTTTATCCACTGGGCCAGGTGTCCTTGAGGACATCAATGTATGAACTTTTGGGATTTATAAACTTAATGTCTCAATATAATTTTTAACCAGAGCTCATATTGCAATTTTGTTGTTAATATGGCTTTAAAAAAAAAAAAGAAAAAATTCCAAAATAATTTCATTCATTTGTGAAAGAGTCCTGAAAGTTTCATTAAAATCCAATATGATTTTTGCAAGAACTTCCAGATCAATGTGTTTTACTGAAAAAAAAAAAAAAAAAGAAAAAAAAAAAGGTGCTAAATTTTATAATAATAATCTTTGCTGTCCCTGCTGACACAAGAAAAACAGGATTTTTAACCAAAATTTCAACATGCTATAAAAGATTTTTAAAAATTATTAAATAAAAAAATATTTTGGTCTTCCCTCTTAATAGCAAATATTTTGACAATAAAAAATTTGTCTTTATCAAGTTTGGGGCATTTTTCACCATGCTATGCTCTTTTTTCAGCAAATTATTGGAGCTACTTACCTTTAAAGAGCTCAGAGGCAGCACTTGACCAGGATCCATTCAATGGTTGAATATCTACCAAGAAGCAGGAAACAGCAAGCACAGGTTGGTTAAAGAGAGATAATGGGCATCTATGCACAGAACTCTTTGGAATTTTTTCTTCTTTCCCGGTGTCTACAAAGAATATCTACAAACAAAATGTAAATGTGTGCCGACATTAAGTTGAAAATTTTACAACTATACTAGATTTTATAACAAATTTAAGCATTTCTTTTTAGCATAAAATAATACTAAAATTATTAAAGATAAGATTAAGTATTACAATAAATTTATTCAATAGAATTTTTTTTTCAATGATCATTAATTTTAATCAACATATTAGCAAGTGATTAGAGAATGATTTAATATTTAGAGGTTAGCTAAAGTAAAGGAGTTCTGTAAAGAAATTATTCAAAGATAGCAATAAAGAATAAACATAAAATAAAGTAAAAATTCTATAAGTATATTAAGTAGAGAAAAGAAAAATGTAAAATGCAAGGCAAATAATTAACATACCTTAATTGCACCATTTTCTTCCTCCTGGATAATGCCACGCTGCCATACTTCTGCATCTCCACTACATTTAGCCAAACAGGCTGAACCAGACAAGAAATCTTTTTCCTGAGCAGGTTGTAACATTGGCAAACAATTCTCAATTGCATTGAACAACTGAACTCTTTCCTCTGCCATTGAACATAATCTTAAATAAAAGTGATCAGGACCAATGCAGTGCAGCATGACGGCTTTCAAACGCAAAGCTGTGTCCAGAGGCCATTCTGCAAATGGTGATACAGTTTCAGTATCACTATCACCAAACGTAGAATCCAAATCAAAAGACTGGGAACCATCTAATCTGCTAAGAATATTCTCAATCTTTGGATCTTTGGAAAAATAATTTGTTACCAATTCTGTATTCAGATCCTTATTCATATCTTCCCATTCATTATGATTAGAATGAAAAAGTTCTGAAGATGTAGTTGCAGGAAGAGGAGCTACATGTTTTGAATTTGCTGTAATTACTTTGGTATTTTCAGGTACATTGATTTTGTTAGTTTCATCTTTTATGTTATCTGAGTGTGAAGTTGTGGTTGCACTGCTGCAGTCAACATTGTCATCTTCTGTATCACTGCTTGTCTTCATAGGAGAATTCTCAGGACTGAAATCAGCTACTAAACCACTGTCCACAGTATTTGACTGCTTTACTGAGATGGATTCAGGTTTTGACATGGCTAAATCTTCAGCTACTATATTATATACATCAGATGACTGGTCTTCTTTCAAGTCAGAATTTTGATCATTTTCATGCAGAGCATCATGAAATTCTTCAGAACCAAATTCCTCACTGGCCTGGCTAACATCTTTATATTCTTCACTCTCGGAAATCACGTCTGTATCTACCATTTCCTTATCAGAGGCAGAAAGTTCCACAGCACTGCCACAGTTTGGTGAATTAGCATGCTCTTCTGTTGGGCTGAATAGATTTTTGCTAATTCCACATTTTCTAAGCATCTCCAACAAACATTTTTCATTCTTATCCTTCATGCTTACTATGTATTTGTCATCATTTGACACTGATAAAACTGACAGGTGAAAAACTTTTTCTAACACAATCTCTTCAAAACCAGAACACATATCTTCTGTCCACTCTTCTCCAATAATAGGAACTGCATCACTCAGACAACAGTGGAATGCCTGTTTTGGCAGAGTCAGTAGCTCAGGAGGAGCAGGTTTTAAATCTGAAAGTGCAAGGAGTTCAATGTTTCCATAATCACAGAACATAACTTCTGCAGAAGAAGAGTCCATGTCAAGTACCAACACTTCTGCACGGTAAAGAGCACCATCTTCAGAATATCGTGCCACACATGGTAGACCAACCCGTAATTCTGATTCAGGAATTCTGGAATTGTCATCATTTTTGAAGAAACTCTTCAATTTGCCCATTAAATAATCCAAACCAGCAGACTCTGTAAACTGGCACCAGAAATTACTTGGGTCAGTCGTAAAGCAGACAATGACTTCAACTGTGAATCCAGCCACATATTCTGGTTGTAAATACCTAAAAGTACAATTTACAAAATTTCAAGTATGAATACATTACAGAAAAAAATATTTTAAATAATTTAGATAATGGCAAAGTGTTTTCTGATACATTTTCATTGTCAATGTCATACACCAGACTGTATAGAACTATTTTCATTGCCTTGAAAAATCAATATGGATTTTGCAACAACATGCAGACAAAATTTGGCATTTTGTTAAAATATCTAACAGCAATATCAGGTTGTTTTGCTACTTAAGAATAAAAAAAAAAAAATTGTTACTTGAACAAAGGATACTTTGATATAAAAGACAATGTTACAATATTTATTGTTGTTTTGTAATACAAAATTGAGGATAACAGCCTATTCCTACCTGAATTCAAGAAATAGGTAGGCTTAATAAGGAATTTCTAATTATATAATTGTAATTTATAGTGTCAATAGAAGTGAATAAATATACCTATGTAGAACTAAAATTATTCATTAATATTTCAAGTAAAACTTATCTGTAATTGTGCAGCTAAGAGTAGGTATCTCAAACTGTCCTAATTTACACTGCAAAAACATGTCAAAAGAGTGAAATTTCCTTTCAATTGCTGATATCTCTTATTTTTGTAGCCTATTTTGCTAAAATTATTATGTAGACAAAATGTAATCATTTCTCTTTAAAAACAGCTTACATTCTTTTTCATATGTAATGATTAGTTGTTATTCCATGTCTCTTTAAATTATTTGACATTTCAATGATAGGTGTGTCTTTTACCAAATTTTCAAATGTTTTGTGCTCCAAGTTGTCTCTCAATGCCTATCAAAATAGTACTAATGAAAAAAAAAAAAAAAAAAAAAAAGATCAATTTGGTGGGCTTATGGTTTGAAGTTGTCCATCACAATTTTCTAAAATACCAGAGGAATTCAACACACAAAAAAAAAAAAAAAAAAAAAAAAAAAAATTGCACCTTCTTGGTGAGTAAGCTTTTGTATTTATTTAATAATCAGATGGTTTTATATCTCTGCACCCATACGAGGAACATATAAATCAAAGAGGATATACTGCATTCATTTCATGCAAAACCATTTGGTTAAATGCACCAAAATTTGTATTGCTGACTGGGTGGATGAACACTGTCAACTGAATCCCATTTTAAATCAGACTTGTTTCATTGATAGATATTATAGTCTAAATCTTCTCTTGTATTTTCTTTAAAACTGTATAAAGTACTTATTGTATTTTGCCCCAAATGACATGCTCAAATCATTTCTACCTCAGCTGTTTTTTTATGCATAAAAAAAAAAAAAAAAAAAATTTTAATTTTATATATTTTAGACTCATGTTTATCCATAAAAAAAATGAAAAAATTTTTTTAAAAATGTCTAGTTTTGCTTTTAATGGTCATTCATTCCAGTTACCTTTGTAGCTGGCAATACTTTCTCTAATTCTTGGGATTTGGGTATTAAATTGAAAATTTATTTACATTTTCTTTAAAAAAAAAAAAAAAAAAAAAAAAAAAAATGAACTGAATATGTTTTAGATTAAATTTGGCACATATTAGGTAATTTTCAAAATGTAATTAGTTTTCTTTTATTTTTTTTTTAAATTATTATTTGTTTATTAATTATGTCCTAATTTAGAAATTAAAATGAAATTCTTACATTTAAAAAGAAAAAAAGTAGTCTTTCCACTTTTGAAAACATGCATTGTAATTTTTCCCTTTATGGAACATAATATAACTTTTTTTTTTTTAAGTGGGTATCTGTTTTTTCTTTTTTAATGTATTAGTGCTTTCCTCACAAGACCTCTACCAGAGTGATTAATAAAATTGACATTTCATCTTCTGTTCAGTGGATGATTAACTCCATGCCCTAAGCAGTAGTTTATTTCTAAGTCAAAGAAGAGCCCAAAGTCTTTGCAATGTATGCTGATAAAGTTAAAAACGGTAATGAAGGGAATTGACATGATATAACTTTTAATGGAACTTCATCTCCACCTCTAAAACAACAAAGGAAGGCAGAAAAGCACTCAATGAAACTGAATATTCCATTTCTAGCATATCATGGATGAAGAACCATTTCATATGACCTTCATTTACAAGCACCAAGGTCAATAGGTTGCAGTATACTATTACTCCAACTTTTACATTGACCAAGTCATTGATATTACATCTCCATCCAATGCAGTCATCAAAATTTTAGTTCCAGCTAAAGGCAGTAATGTTTATTTTTGATGGCCTTTCGTTGAATGATATTGCACAAGTGGCATCAACATGTCTTTTGATGAGACTTTGATATAATACGACTTTCAAGTGATAATAGAATATGAAATGTTTCGGGAATATTGGCTATAGAAGAAGCATATAAACAAATTCAGCCTGCAAATCACCATTCCAACAATCCAGAAAGTATTTTTCATCAGTTCCAAGAATTTATATTTTTAGTCATTTAAGTTCTAGTTTGATGATAAGTTAAAAGCTTTACAAGAACCATGTTTGAAGGATTGACCAATGTTTTATTTCCTGAAACAAATTTTTGAGTTTAGTCATTACTGTTCTATTTTTAAAAAAGTTAATTGCTTAATTTCAAAATATTTTTCTAAAATTGAATACATGTGACAAAAAATGACATTACAGTGAAAAGATTTGTTTTGTTGCATTCTTCATCCCAAAACTGATAAAATTTCAGGCATGTACCTTCAACAGATAGTTAATTATTGAAGATTAAGAATGGTATACTTTTGACCTGTTTTTGTCCTGTCAAATTGTTCTTCTGGCTGATTTTTTTTTTTACATGGTGCAAATTTTTTTTTTGATATACTATTATATAAAAAAAAAAAAAAAAAAAAAAATTTAGCTTTACCTCTATTGTGCTTTGAATTATAGAAAAAATTTGAAAGATGTAATTGCCAAAGTGAAACTTATGAGCAGTCTGAAATGCTCTTCTTTGTCATTCTTTAACTATTTCGTTTTTGAGAACAATTTATTTTCACTTGTTTGAAGTCCACATTTTCAGTTATACACTATTAAAATTGGCTTCTGGCCAAATAGCACTAACCAATTTTGAATGGTCATAACATGGTTGCACATTGAGGTAACATGATAAATTTGGTATCATTTTTGTTGTTTTGTCAAACTGTGTCTATATTAATAGTTTTTAGATATATCGAAAATAAAATTTTAGTCTGCAATACCTACTAAGAGTACTTTCAGAAACAAAGTATTAAATGTTAAATTAGACGTGTGTGTATCTATAGCATGTGAAGAGGAAGATTTATTCATTGATGCTATACCATATTTTGAACTGAAATAAAGAATATTGTCTTTAGCATTTATGCAAAACCTTAATATTATTGTCTACTATGAATTACATTTACAGTTTTAAGAATTTTAATAGTAATTTATGTTACATTTGTTGTGTTATAGCCAAAACAAATCTGTATATTCAGTACATTTCATATTTCAACCGAGGGAAAAATATTACAAATTTAATTGGTGAAATTAATGGGAGTTTTTTTTTTCTTTTACATTTTTATTCTCAACTCACTGAAAAATTTTAATTTAAAAAAATTAAAAAAATTAGAATTTGTATTTACAATTGTTTAACTTTTGAAAAGCTTCAAAACTATAACATCTATTTTGAAATGTAAACATATTTACATAACTTCTCAATTAAAACTGCACATTATTTTTTTTTTCTTTACAAAAAAAGATAAATTTTAACAAAGTATATATTTAGATTTAGTAGGATTGTTTTCTAAGGGATAGTTTTTTTTGATACCTAACAATATAACATAAAAAATTTAAGATACTGATCCAAATAAATTTTGGTTATTAACATGGTTAGAGTAACTGATTAAGATAAACTATGCTAATTTATATTTTGTTGATTTTTAATACTGATTTTCTTTTTTCTGAACAGTTTTCAAAAACCGAAAAAACATTGGATAAGTTTCTTCCCCCCAACCATTTACTCCAAGAATGATAATTTTCATAAAAAGGGTATATGTCATGAAAATATTTTTTTTTCATAACTTAAAGTGACTGAAAGCAAATGTTGAAATATTTCCATTTTCAAATTCCAGGCTAAATAAGGGAAAAGTGTCATCTCAGTTCTACCATTATGAACTTCTATGAAAATAAATAAATATCATTGTTTCTGGATCAGAACATTTTATAAATTAAATTATTGGTACTTAGATTTTTCAAAACAATAGTCATATCCGAAAATGTTTATAAAATACAAAAGTTAAGATAATATAAACAATGGGAGAAGAATATATATATATATATATATTATAAATAAAAGCTTGTATATTCTGCTTTCCTATAAGATCAAATTTATGGATAATTATAAAAGCATTTTTGTACAATATTTGAAGTGGGAATTTATATTGAAAAATACAACCTGCTTCATATACATTTGCTCATAAACTTACATTGGCAAAGATGCAGAAATAGTGTCTTGATTTAAAGACACTAAATAATGGCCATCCTCAGTAATTGCATCCACTTTCAAGTAACCAGTCCTACATGAAAATAAAATAAGTAAGAGAGGAAATATTTAGCAACATTTTTCATATGCAAAAATATTATCTTTGGAAATACTTTTGAATACTAATTTCCTATTACAGTTAGATACTCTCCTATCAGATCAACAAGCAAGTGCAAATTGAAATTTTCATAAGACAATAAAAAAATAAATAAAAAGCCAATAACTACATAACTTTAACAATTCAAGTTTTGTTTGACACTAGTTTTTATTTATCAACATGGATGATGTTCTAATTATTTAAGATTTTTTTAGCTGAATGGTGGTATTGTTTAATTTGTGCATCCATTCTAACTAAAAGTAGATTTATATGTGTTGTACAATAGCGACACTGAGTAACTGAAAACATTGCATCTGGTCCTGACAAATACTACAAACATATAACACAATGCAAAATAAATCAAATGCAGGGATGAGTTTAGCTTAAGATAGGGACAGGCAAAAATGCCTTGGTGGACCCCTTAATGACTAAGGGCATCACTGCAATTGTTTTAGAATTTGCAAAATGTTTTTTTTTTTTTTTTAACTGAATTTTCAATACCCAAAGTTTAAGATGAATTTTTAAAAATTCTTGAAGATTTCATTTTAGCTTTAATTGAAAGCTAAGTGACTAAATATTCAAACAAAAATTATGTAAATTGGAATATTTGCTTGATTTCAGAAAATCTTACACATGACCTTTTTCTCACTTTTAAGAAATTTGTAAGCAAAGCAAAATTAGTTTTAAAAATCTTCCAAAAATAAAATATATATTTGTGACATGTTAAGTTAAATTAATCTGATTTGAAACAAACATTGCTTACTTATGGCATAAAAATGTAATATACAAGCATTTCTTAATGAGTCCTGTTTTTCTTTTGTCTTTATTGACGTATCAATAAGTTCCGAGGTGTTGACAGCTAGCATAGATGACCAGAATTGATATAAATTTACAAATTCTATGTGAAAGAATTGGGGTGGCGCTATCTAGTAATTTTTACTAATTAACATTCTTGGCAATTATCTAATATTTTATTCACTTTTAGTTACATTTGAAGATGCTTTATGAAATTTTTGTTTCGTCTCTAGGTTCTTATCAAAAAGTTAAACAAAAAAAAAAAAAAAAAATTTAAAACTACGTAAATTGAAGTATGACCCAAACTAAAAATAAATACATAAAATAAAAATATTTAGTGAAATGGTAATTAAAAGTAAAACTTACTTTAAGATTTTGAAGTGATGAAACAATTGAATAATGAAAGTGAAAGAATTGCAGAATGCCAGACGATTCTTAAATCACATGACCTCTTTAGGGATCATGTCATGTATGGCTTACCATAGTTACAAATTAGGAACGTTTAAAAGAAGAGAAAAAAAAAGAGAGAAGAGAAAAGAGAAAAAAGAAAAAAAGAAAAAAAAAAAAAAAAAAAAAAAAAAAAAAAAAAAAAAAAAAAAAAAAAAAAAAAAAAAAAAAAAAAAAGAAAAAAAAAAAAAAAAAAAAAAGAAAAAAGAAAAGAAAAAAAAAAAGAAAAAAAGAAAAAGAAAAAAAAAAAAAAAAAAAAAAAAAAAAAAAAAAAAAAAAAAAAAAAGAAAAGAAAAAAGAAAAAAAAAAGAAAAGTTGTTAAAAAAGAAAAAAAGAAAAAAAAAAAAAGAAGAAAAAGGAAAAAGAAGAAAAAAGGAAAAAAGAAGAAAAAGAAAAAGAAGAAAAGGAAAAAAAGAAGAAAAGGAAAAAGAAGAAAAGGAAAAAGAAAAAAGGAAAAAGAAGAAAAGGAAAAGAAGAAAAAAGACAAAGAAGAAAAAGGAAAAAGAAGAAAAAGGAAAAAGAAGAAAAAGGAAAAAGAAGAAAAAGGAAAAAGAAGAAAAAGGAAAAAGAAGAAAAAGGAAAAAGAAGAAAAAGGAAAAAGAAGAAAAAGGAAAAAGAAGAAAAAGGAAAAAGAAGAAAAAGGAAAGAAGAAAAAAGAAAAGAAAAAAGAAAAAAAAAGAAAGAAAAAAAAAAAAAAAAAAGAAAAAGAGAAAGAAAAAAAAGAAAAAGAAAAGAAAAAGAAAAGAAAAAAGGTTTTCAATTTTTGATTCGTAAATGTAGTTTTCACATTCTTGTACAAATTCATTATTCACCAGGAAAAAAATCTCAGCAATTAAAAGCTTCTCTAATTAAATGTCATATCTATATTACATTTTTTCTTTTACAATTCAGAGCAGATTTTTGTCTGGTGAATGGATTAACTGTTTTCCAAAAAAAAAAAAAAAAAAAAATTTCCTCCCTAAAAATTGAATTTTCTCAAAATTTCATTAAATTAAGTGGGTGGTAACATATGTATAAAAAAAAAAAAAAAAAAAAAAAATTTTTTTTTAAAAATGTTTTGTAGGTAGTATTCCACCCGCCCCCCCCTCTACAGAAATGTATTGTATGAAATTTTTTTTTTTTTCCTATTGCTGGTATTTTTACTATCAAATTTTTATACTTTCACAGTGTTTTGTTAAAGTCCAGCCCATGGCTGGAACTATAACAGGTGCTGTATCCAGGACGTTACACACATTGAAAAGATAAAAAAAATTATATAAATAGGAACTAAATTAACATTTATATAGGTACCTCCACAAAATCGCTAAAAAAAAGAGCATAGCTTGATGAAAAAGATGCCAACCTTGCCGAAAAAATTTTATTGTCTTATGTTATTAAGAGGAAATATGAAAGTTTTTTTTTTTTTTTTTAATTTTTAAAAATTTTCCTTCTTTTAGAACATTCTAAATTTTGATTAAAAAACCTTGTTTCTTTTTTTGTATTTTTTGAACTAGTAAATAACAGACAATTTTTAGCACGTATTTTTGGTATGACACACATTAATTTGAAAAATCTTGCAAAAATAGAATGATCGAAATTATTATAAATATGTTTTTTTTTTTTTTTTTAAAGTCATGGTAAAAATATTTTTTTTAAATATTTGTTACCACCCCCCATAACTAATTTTATGAAAACGCTAGAAATTCTATCGCATCGGGTTTAGTGATTACAATAATTAAAAGCAGAGGGCTTTGAGGAATGCAAATCATGTTTTTTTTTTGTTTTTAATTGGATCCGCAGTACCTGAAAATCAGCTCTGAATTGTAACATACAAAACTCAATAAAACAAAGATATTTAATTTCAAATGCTTTTTATTTGCTTTTAGTTGTTATGGACAATATTTTCTGAAAGCAAAAAATTTTTTTCGATAAAAAATGAATTTTTAATACAATTATTTCTTATTTCTTTAATTATAATAGATTTTACATTTAAGTTGTTAAAATATTATAAAATTAGTTAAAAACTGCATCGGCTTTCCTAAGTGTCCTTATGAGATAGATCTTTTTTAGTGCGTTGTAAATTATATCATTTTGACTAATCAGAAGATCCGCAGTAATTAAGAAATGTAATTTTCTGCTTATAACCGGGCTGTAATTATAAAGTACGGAAGACCAACCAGAATATAATTAAGTTGCGTTATTTGAGTTAAGCATTGTTCTCTACTGTTAAGGCCTTTACTTTTGCGAAACACGTTTGAAGTTAATTTGATTTTTCAATTTCAACTGAGAAGGGTACCTACAAGTATCAATATCATTTTATGAAATTTATATGATCTTATTTTTATATTAATCTCAGTTATGACATTTTTCCATAAATGAAATATTAAAATTAATAAAATGAATGCAAATACAAATAACAGTAAAATGTAATAAATGTACATAAAATTATAGTATTTTATGTACACTTCTGATAAAATTTCATAAGAAAGGTACCTATAAATTAATTAGATACCTTTCTTAGGAAATATGAAATTTAATGTCACTCTTAACAGTCTTATTTTAATTTCTTTATAATATATTTTCCATAAAGCATCATAAATGTAAAGGTGAAAGCTAAGTACAAAAAAAAACAAAAATTTAGACCGCTGAAACTTTTTGTTAAAAATAACGAGGTAAATAATTTGATATTTAAAAGAATTGAAGTGAAATTTCCAGTTTTTTTTTTTTTTTTTTTAAAAATGGAAAAAAATGGTCAATTTTGCCGACTCAAAAATACTAGATTTTTAACGAAAATTTCGGACGTGCTAGGAACGATTAAAAAATGGAAAAAAATACCCAAAATACTTTGATCTTTCCTCTTAATAATAAACATTTAGACGATAAAATTTTGTTTTCGTCAAGTTTGGTGTCTTTCTCATCATGCTATACTCTTTTTAGCGATCTCATGGAGGTACCTACATTTATATATGAAAATGGGAAAAGGAGAGAAAAGTGAAGAATACAAATACTCACCATCCTTCAGTTACAAACTCATTATCTGAAGTAGATAATGAACAATGAAAGGCCTGAGGTGAAAAGTCCATGAAGCAAGGATATAACTCTTTCAGGCACCAATACTCTACTGTTTCTGTGACGCCAAAGTCAATATTAAGAACTGAGCAACTACTGTTGTCATCTGCAAGGTTCTGCACACAACCACGATAAGGGCATCCAGTAGAATTTATCACAGCACAAAGCATCCCAGTTTTTAAGCCTGTGAGAGAAGCTGGTTCCAAAGCTAATTTTCCATAGACCTCACCCAAAAGCATTTTTATGCGCTCTATAAGAGGCACTTTGGTGAGTATTTGTACCCAGAATTTGTGAGGAGAGTCAATATGGCACACTTGAATTCTGAAAGTTTCACCCTTCATCAAAACTTTAGGGCTAGATAGAAAGTGGATTTCAGCAATTGCATCTATAACAGATCGTTCCACGAGAACATTGTCCAAGAGCTCGACTTTAGAGAAGGTCTCTGCTACATTCTGTTCAACAAGAAGATCAGCTACATTCCTTTGGTTGAGTATTAAGTCAATCACATAACCAGTACCATCTGGGTGTTGCAAACTATTGATCACATGGGCAATCATTAGCTGATTTAAACATAATCTCTGAAAGACTTCCAGAGAGTTTTTACACCAGGAACCATCTTTGCTCTGGATATTGGCAAGGCGGCATTCAAAAGCTTGAGCAGGAAGTTCTAAAAATTTTGACTGTAGCGGCCAAATACTTTTTTTCTCCACTGTTTCCGTGTAACCATAGTCCACAAATAAAATATCACAACTAAATCTTTTTAAAGACTGAATTTTTCCTCGATAGAATTTATCATCTTTTGTAAAGCGTACAATACACAAAGTACCAGGTTTGAGATCATCTAAGTATTTCCTCATTTCTTCTTTACCAGTTCCTTGGGTGCAGTAGGCACTCATTTCTTTTTCAAGTTTCTGCATAAGATCAATACTTTCTTCAGGTTGGCACCAAAAGTCTTCAGGAGTGACAATATGAGAAATGTAAATTCCCAAAGTCTCATGTTGCAACACATGAAAAGGCTTGAGTACACCTAACAAATAAACAAAAAGTTACAAAACAATGAATACAGATATGCTTAGAATTGAAGATTACTCTTAACAAATGGTAATGGTGTCATGACATGTTTCTGATAAGGAAAAAAAAATTCTTTTAATACTTTAATGAAAAACAGAATAATTAGCAAGGTTAAGTGATGCTGACTCTAGTAAACATCAAATATTTAAAGTAAAAACTTGTTTTGAAAAGCAAGCAGTTTCATACCTGATAAAATAAATATAAGAGATTAATTTCAACTGCAAGTAGAAATCTCTAAGTAGGTAATCCAAGTTAAGAATCATGAACAACTAAGCAAATATAACCATGTTCAATTCAGTAGGGAAAAGCTGAGGATTTCATTCCTTATAGAAGTTTTCATTTCCCCACAAATTTCAACTGTCAAAAAATCCATTTTCAAGAAAACTTATCTGAATTATCTTTAAATTAATAGTAGTCCCTCTTTCTTTTTAAATAATCAATTTCAGTCTTTAAAAGTTTAAAAAATTGCTTTCTCTTCATTATATACCTATAAATTTGGTCTTGTCAAAATACAAAAAGATCAATAATCTTCATTGCAATCAATTTCCAAAGTTTGTTTGATGAAGATATTAAAGCTCAAAGTATAGCATTTCATGTAACAACCTTTGTGCCAATTTCCCACAAGAGAGGTTCAAGCAATTTTAGACTTAATTTTTCATAGATGTACATATTGAAAGAGGTGAAAAAAAAAAAAAAAAAAAAAAAAAAAAAAAAAAAAAAAAAAAAAAAAAAAGAAAAGAAAAAAAAGAAAAAAAGTCACCAGCAATTAGCAAGAAATTCATGTTGAGCAAGAAACTGTTTGCATAAAATCTTGAACAGATTTAAAATAAAAAATAAAAATCAATGGAGGTTTGCAAATTAGAAACCTCTTAAGAGGATGGTAATCATTACCAACTCAAGTTACTAAAGCAAAATATGACCACAGTAATAACTGAATTTGTCTACAACAAATATCAAAACAATCTACTTTGGAGTGATGTATGTTTTTTGGCAGTCATCTTTATCCAAAGATTTCATCCATTATCTCAGAGTCCGCAAACTCTTGCATTAACTACAACTTTGACAACTACTATATTTATTCAACTGCCAAAATGATAGCATTTAAGTCTGCTTCATTCTATCACTTTATGAATATCTGTGACATTGACCTTGCTACTTAAAGCTACTCACATCTTTTAATAAAATTTTGTAAAGGCAATGTTATCTGTGTAAACTAAAATTTCTTATCCAATGAATTGTTCAAACTAGAGCAGAAACAGTTTACCTAAAGGGAAAAATGCATAACAATTCACTCATTAGTCTACAAAACACTATGCAAAAAAGTTATTTAGAGACACATTACAATCTTTATTCTTAAAAGCAAAATCTACAATCTTTACTCTTAAATGCAAAATACAAGTTATCTTAACCTAACTCAAATGAATATCAAATTTGTAATTGTATCACCTGCTGTTTACAATTCAATCTTCATTAACAACTAAATTACATTTAAGTCTTAATTACAAGTATATCAACATCAACAACAAATTATACATTTGCATACATGACATATATTACAAATATATATCAAACAGGAACTTTGATATCAGTGCTGTGGATCAAGTTTTTTTTTGTTTTTTTTTTTACTTTGTAGTGGTCTGCTGCTAAATGAAAGTGGAAATAGAGAAACAGTATATCTGCAGTTTCCAATATATAAAGGTGTCAAAAAAAAAAAAAAAAAAAAAAAAAAAAAAAAATTTTAAAATAAATCATCTCACTGTTTCAAGACTACTTTATAATTCTATGCTTCTCTTTCTACACCAAGCTTAATCACTCTTACTCTTTATAATGCGCACTCAGCCCATTTTTCAAACATCTGTATCTTTACATTTAATAGAACAAAAATTAACTACTCAAAATATTTTTAAATCCTTCAAAGGATATAGTAAATTTTCTGGTTATTTCATTCAAATAAACATTGGAAAAAATACTTTAGTAAAATTTTGATCAGTAAAACAATTGAACATTTTGTTTAAATTTTAAAGTGTCAGTATTTCTACTCAAGGCAATAAATCTCTCAAAATTCAAAACAGTCATTTACATAAGACTGGTGTATATGGAAATGTGCTAAAAAGCTCTCAGCTAACCAAGAAGTAATTAAAAAAATATTTCTGATTTCAGCATTTAGATTTTAGAAAGTGGGTTGGGCCTACAAAACATTTCAGCACCCACTTCAATATATTCACATCAAAGTATTAATCAAAAAGTAAGATGACTGAATATTTCCAAAATTGTCAACATAGATATGCATGATTATATAAGCAAAATAAATGGATTTATTTTTAATCTGCTATTTTTATTACAACAAATTATTATAGTGGAGAAATAGATTATATATAGAGTGAATTATTATAGTGTAGAAATAGATGCTCCATTTTTTTAGTTTATATATTAAACAGTGTTTATTAAATCTATCAGCCTGTGTATTTGAGACATCTTAGTAAAGAAAAATGCATTCCCCAACAGGGATTGAACTTGCATCCCCATTTGTATGCAAAACTACTGTTTGATCCAATGTGTCAATCATGGAAAACAACACAGTATGTAAGGTTCTATTTTTCATTTTCTTTTTTACTCTTCACCCAGATTATTTTCTCAAAAGATTCATATTAGCTCAGTTTAATATCCAAGTAAACAAAGCAATTTCTAAAGAATTAATGGATTTATTTTTAATCTATATCAATCATTATTATAATAGATACTCAGTATTTGAAATAAACACTTTTTTTAACTAAGATCTCTCAAATAGACATAATATACAGTGTTTAATAAATTAAAAATTGGACGTCTATTTCAAATACAGAATTTGAAGTAATTTATATATTAGAGAGAGAGAGATTTTCTTTTTTATCAGTTTACTCAAATTTTAAATATGCAAATATG